GCAAGCTTTTCAAATCAGAAGCAATCCTTGTGAAAGCATGAACACTTGAGAACAAAGAATGCAACCCTTTTAGAACGTCTGCTGGAATGGTTGGACATGCTTTCCCCTCAGACTTAATTCTCAAGTGTCGAACTTTAGAATTCTCAACAATGTTGCAAATAGACTCCTTCCAAATCAAAACTTCACCTTTTGAGACAAACAGTGCTAGATCATGCACTGCATCATGCATCTTGCAAGATTTGATATTCCCATATTCATCCATTTCCACATCTTGAAATAAGGAATTGGCTAACAAGTGATTAAAATAATCATTACCAATATCCTCCGTTGTGTTGCAGCTTTCATTAGATTGTTGAAGAAATCCAACAGCCATCCAGAGTTGAACCAAGTCATCTTTTTCAATGACAAAATCCTTTGGAAAAATTGCACAGTAAGAAAAGCATCTTTTTAAAGGAGAAGGTAAGCGATCAAAACTTATTTTCAAAATAGGCAAAATCTCATCTCCAGCCCCTGAATTAAAATTCCAAGCTTCGTCATTTTTGATAGCCTCCCATGCAGCTGCATTGGCTTGACGACTTAATGTCCCTCCAATGACACTGGCAATTAATGGTGAACCCCCACATCTTTTTGCAATGTCCTGTCCAATAGCCTCCAAATCTGGAGGCATCGAAGTAGTTCCTATAGATGATCTGAGAAACTTCTCCTTGATTATCAACCAACATTCATTATCCGATAGCCCCTGCATTTTATAGCTTTGCATAGGAATCGACTCCATCACAGATGCTACCTTTCCACTGCGAGTTGTTGCAACAATAGAGCTCCCATTTGTTTTGAGAATTTTTGACAAACGAGAGCTGAAAGAATCCCACTTTTTAGGATCATCATTCCATACATCATCAAGAATGAGAAGAAAAGTTTTCTTCTCTAATTCTTTAGCAAGATCTGCAAGCAATGCATTGACATTATTTGTTTGAGCGGCTGTATGATCAAAATGCCGCAACATTTCTCCCAAAATTATTTGATCAGTGAAGTCCTCAGATACACACACCCAAGCCACTAGATCATAGAGCTTTTCCTCCTTTGCTTTGTTGTATACTGATCTTGCTACTGTTGTCTTTCCAACCCCACCCATACCTACTATGGAAATGCCAGAGATGAGATGTTGACTGCTCCTCAAGTCAAGCAACAAACTGACTATTCTTGAGACATCATCTTCCCTTCCAAATACTTTGGAATTATCAGTAAAAGAGTCTGTTTGTGGATATAACTGCATTGAACAGGTTTGGCTTCTAAAGGTGACCAACAGATTGATCGTCGCAGCCCAGTCTTTCAAATGGCACAACTGCACAGTAATCTTATTGATTTTGTTAGTCATACGATAACAAAACATTATAGATAAGAAGATGAATGCAGGATTCCAGTGCCGCCCAGAACTCTTAACATTGTCCTTAAGAACCTTGTACTCACACTCATCCAGAACATCCACTGCCTCATAAGCTACGTCTCTGAGCTTCTGTAGCCAACCCCTTACATCAGGATCACTTTCTTGTCTTTCCTCTGCGTGTTGGACAACAGATTTAATGAGAGTGAGAGACCCACGAAGCTTATCAAGCTCCTTCTCCAAACCCGCTGCATTCCAGATTCGTTTCCCAACAAACGACATTATCTTGGAAATTGCCTCCTCGATGACAGGGCTGAGGAAGGTGAGGGCAATTTCAGCCATTATGCTTGATCACAGAGAAAGATGGCAAACAGAATTGAATTCTACAAAAACAAGCAGAATAGTGTTATATATGAGAGCAGAGATGATAAAATGAAATGCAGATGAAGATTCTGCGCAAATATCATTTGATAAACTTACATAAATGGATTTTTTTTTTTCGCTGCTTTCTCCTTTTCAAACCTAATTAAGTAGAGGAACACCCTGTAAAGTCATTATGAATTCATAAGAATCAACGTCAGAACAATTGAAGAACAAAAGAATAAAAAAATAAACTGAGACTCAAGAAAATAAATGTTTTTGAGTTGTAGAGGTGGGTTCAGGTTGTGTCCACTCGGGTCATGGGTTTTATGGATTGAGTTGTATGCAGGTTGTGGGTTTTACGGATTGGTTGTATGCGAGTCCTGGGTTAGTAAGTGCTGATCCTAATCCCACCTTAATCGGCTTAATTCAATTTTTAGTCTATTAACTATCACCTTGATTTTATTTTAGTCTAGAAACTATGTTTTATTTCTAAGTGGTCTATTAACTTTCAGATTCATTTCAATTTTATCTATCTGGTTATCTTTCACGGAAAACTTACGATTCTGTTAGAGAACAGTTAGTCCTCTAACTATATTTATTTTGATCTTTTAATCCTCAAATTTATATTTATATAAAAACAACTTTTATACTTAAAATTATTATTTCTAGGCTCTGATAGCGAATTTTTATTCAGGTTTTCAGAACTTAACTCAGACTACTACTAACTAATGAATAGCTGATATATTAAGCTTAGTTAGTGTGGAATTAGATCTACTAGACTACTAACAAAAATAATCACTTTCTAGTTGTGTTTAGATCTTATAAAATTTTTTATCTATATTACTTTCTAGTTGTAGAATTATTCTGTTATACATTTTTACGATTTGATTGCAAATTTTTCAGCGATTGCTTTTAATGTCTTTAATAGACCTTATTTCTTTTTTTATTTCTTTCAATTTTCTAGAGTTTTTAACATTATTTATTCTTTCTTTAATAGAATCAAATTCTTGAGAAAGTGATTTGCTCATTTTTTTTAATTCTTCTTAGGGTATTTTCATTAATTGTTTCTATTTTTAGAATATTATCAATTATTCATTAGTTAGTAGTAATTTGAATTAAGTTTTGAAAACCCGAATAAAAATCTAGTATTAGAGCCTAGAAATAATAACTTTAAGTATAAAAGCTATTTTTACAGCAAATATAAATTTGAGGACTAAAAGATCAAAACAAATATAGTTAGAGGATTAACTGTTCCCTAACAGAATAGTAAGTTTTCCGTCAAAGATAACCAGGTAGACGAAATTGAAATGAATCCGAAAGTTAATAGACCACTTAGAAATAAAACATAGTTTCTAAACTAAAATGAAATCAAGGTGATAGTTAATAGATTAAAAATTGAATTAACCCCACCTTAATCAATGGGTTAA